GTTCGATTGAAATGTTCTACGACGGAGGCCTTCATCACCGAATACGTTGAATAATGATTAATGCCATGCTTTGTCAAAGTTTCTGCCATCAGCGTGTAAAATTCTTTTCCTGATCGTTTGCAAATTTTTCGATATCGATCTCTAAATACCTTTGCAAACGCTTTAGTCACCTCGGCACCACTTTTAGTCTTGAGCGGGACCGCCCATGCATACTTGCTCAGCACATCGATGACGGTGAGTATATAGCGGTGACCTTGGTTGAATCGCAAGTAAGAACGCATTTCTACAACATCAGCTTGCCACAGATCATCGTATCCATGGACTATGACGCGCCTCCGTGGGAAATGTCTTCGAGCCGGGGCATGCAATTCCTCAACAAGTTGTCGCTTCTTGCGGCTATGGTTTTCTTTACTTTTGGATTTCGATAATGGCGACATGTTTGATCGTAGAGGTATCTTTGACACGAATGATGTGATAATTAGGTAATTATGCAGAACAGGTGTTTCCTCACCGATTTCAATTATTTTTGGATATGTTGTCGGGGGCATAATTCTGAACAACTTTTTCCTATACATGTTACCGCCGCTCGACCTTCGTTGCCGAGATATTTGCCAAAAACTATCGGTTGCATTCTGCCCATACCTACATATGTACATTGTATGCAGCCGAGCCCTTGGCTCGACGTTCGACTGTTTATTCAGTATTGTTGTACACACATCACGACGTGACAGACGTATCACTTTAGTTTTCTGTATCAAGAGTGTTGTTTCAGTACCGAGAGTGTTTTAAAATGAAATTGTACGAATTTTTAAATATCTGCAATGATTATAACAATTTGCTGGAGTTTTTAATTGAACAAAAAGTAATTCATGGAAGGATGAATTGCGCGAAATGCAAAACGGAAATGACGTTTAATAGTGAAACATTAGTGTTTGCGTGTTATAACACCTTCTATAGATTGAACAGAAACAAGAAACGCGTAAAACAACAGTGTATGTCAAGGATTAGTGCACTTCACAATACCTGGTTTGAAAATATACACATGCCAATTCAAAATATTTGTCGGTTTATTGCATACCATATAATGCTTCGGCCACCCAGACAAACATTTTTGATACAAGAATTAGGTATTTCTTCACACACAGCAGTTAATTGAGCAAGCTTTTGCAGAGAGTTGTGTGAATTATGGGTCGAAAAATCTTCGGTTCAAATGGGAGGCGAAAACAAAGTCGTCGAAATTGACGAAGCTAAGATTGGCAAGCGTAAATACAACAAGGGCCGTCTTGTTACTGGACAGTGGGTGTTTGGAGGAATTGAACGAGATAGTAAGCAAGTTTTCATTGAAACAGTACCAAATCGAACTTGCGAAACTTTACTTTCCGTTATAAAAAAATGGATTAAACCAGGAACAACAATCATGTCGGACTGTTGGAAATCTTACAATTGTTTAAATGAAGAAGGCTACAAACACTTAAGAGTGAATCATAAAATCAACTTTGTTGATCCGGATACAGGGGCACACACTCAAAATATCGAGCGTGTATGGCAGGAAACACGAGCAAACGTTCCGCGTTATGGAACACGTGAATATCATTATTCCGGATACATAGCGGAGTTCCAATTTCGACGAAAATTCGATTTTAATAATCGCATAATCGCGTTTTTTAACATAATGGCAGAAATATTTCCATAGTCCGAGGAAATGATTGTACGTTGCAGTCGTTGCCGCGACCGCGACGTAAGGGCCTCAGGGTGCAAGCACCCAAAATCCCTTTAAAGCTATACGGCTTCGGAGCCTCCCAAAAGTCCTACCGATAGTTCGATACCGCCTCGTGGAGTGTTTACCGTGTACAGGCCACTGCGAACCCTCTCCAAAAACCCGTCGGTGTACGAGTCGACCGTACACTCAACGACGGAGTTCGGGTTCAAAGCGCTTCCCTTCCGTCATGCCGCCTACCGTATACGGCCCCCGTGAATACGGTCGCCGGGTAGGCTTTATAGTGCGGTTGGACCGGCCCGAGGTTTTTCTGTGTAAATTCGCTTACTGTACAGTCCCCGATATTAACGGTCGCTGTACAGTAGATATAAAGTGTAGCAGGAAAAACACGCTTCGCGCGACGTTTATACGTCAACCCACACGGTGAAGGTGCTCACGGGACCCACTCACTTCGAGCCTTACAACCTCCATTTGGTGACCCGTCCGTGGCATCGCAGAGCCCCCGACAGAATCGAGTCAAGTCTCCTCTGTTCAGGGCAAAAGTCTCGTCGATAGTTTAAATAAAAAACTATCCGCGAGCAACGTAATACAGTCCACTAAATTACGCTAAACGACAGCTGATCTCCCCCTCCGAGCGCACCGATAGTCGCCAGGAGAACGAGTCGAACAGCTGACGAGCGTGTATTTACATTACGTGCACGCACGTATTTAATTTGGTCGATCATTTGTTTCAGTAATCAAGGACCGACCCAGCCAGGGCAACACCGGTGAGGCCTTCCACCCCCCTGGCCGTGGCAAAAATTATATTTGTAGGAGTAAAATAATCATCGCGGCTGATCGGCACTTGAACTCTGTTAAAAGAGTCGACAAATGTTCTTACGCGTTTTTGTAAGACGGTTGTGCGACGGCCCTGCCAAATGACGAGTGAACGAACGCGAGGATAAGAGTGAGAGAGAGAGAGAGAGTGAATGAGTCAGTGAGAGAGAGCGATAACCCCGGGCAACGCGTCAATAGCATGAAGGAGACAGCTGACGAGAGACGGTGCAGAGTCTTGTCAAGAGTGTAGCACAGAGAAATAAAGAGTTTAAATTATATCGTTTACCGACGGAATAGAATTTCTTGTATCACCGCATCCTTTTAATACTAAATCCCACATATTTAGTTTTGTTTATTTGATTTTTTAGTTTTTTTTTCATATTTTTTGTAAAAATAAACGGTTTGTCGCTAAGCGACAAACGAAAGAACAATCAAATCCGAGCAACTTCTCTTTCCCTGGCAACTCCCTCATCCGGACCTCGGTTAGAACCCTTAGATTCTAACAGACTGAGAGCCACTTTCCTTCTTTTCTTCGAAACTTTCACCTTCCGAGCAAAATTATTCTGCATTCGACAGAGAACTATTCGCCATATACCGACCGATAAAGCATTTCCGCCACCTTCTCGAAGGCAGACATTTTACAGTTTTCACAGATCACAAACCTTTAATTTTCGCATTTTCCAGTAATCCTGATAAACATACCCCAAAACAAATCAGATACTTAACTTTCATTAGCGAATTTACAACCGACATACAACATATTTCCGGTCGCGATAACGTTGTTGCAGATGCTTTGTCACGAATCGAAACCATAGAAAAGAAATTAGATTTCGAAGCGCTGGCAACAGCACAATCAATCGATCTCGAATTGCGAGCTTTGATGCAGGATGAATCAGGCCTTATGTTAGAATCTAAGGGTTCTAATCAGGGTCCGGATGAGGGAAAGTTCAGGGAAAGTCAAGTTGACACAATTTATTTGTATTTTTCGCTTGTCGCGCAGCGACAAGCCTTTTATTTTATAAAGTTAAAATAAAAATAGAAAAAAATACAAAAATAAAAAATAAAAAATTGAAAATAAATATATTTTTTCTTGTCGGGCCGGGTTGCCCTATTGGCGTTGCCCTGGCTGCGTACTGGCCCTTGATTCCTGTAACAAAGGATCGACCAGAATTAAATACGTGATTGCACGTATCGTAAACACGCTCGTCAGCTGTTCGCCTCGCTCTCCTCGCGACTATCGTCGCGCTTGGAGGGGGGAGATCAGCTGTCGTTAAGCGTAAGCAAGTGGACTGTATTTTATTGTTGCTCGCGAATCGTTATTAATTAAAACGATCGACGAGACTTTCGTCCTGAACAGCGGAGAATTGACTCGTAACTGTCGGAGGCTCTGTGTCGCCACGGACGGGTCACCAAATGGAGGTCGTAAAGCTCCAAGTGTGTGGATCCCGTGAGCACGCTCACCGCGCAGATCGACGTAGGTACGTCGTGCAAGGGAATTTCCTTCAACGCTTTATAACTACTACACAGCGACCGATTATTTCGGGGACTGTGCAGTAAACGAATTTACAGTAGGAAATCCCAAGCAGGTCCACCCTCACTATAAAGCCTACCCGGCGACCGTTTGTACGGGGACCGTATGTGGTAGGCGGCGTGAAGAGTGGGAGGCGCTTTGAACCCGAACTCCGCCGGTGGGTGTACGGTCGACTCGTACACCAACGGGGTTTTCGGATAGGGTTCGCAGTGACCTTTGCACGGAGAGCTCTCCACGAGGCGGTACCGAACTATCGGTAGGACCTTTGGGAGGCTCCCAAGCCGTATAGCTTTGAAGGGATTCTAGGTGCGTGTACCCTGAGTCCCTTACGTCGCGGTCGCGGCAACGACTGCAACGTACAATCAACTTCTCGCGTCCGCGGTCACGTCACGCGCTGCGTGCACTAGACCACTTCCTTCGCTTAAAGAGATTGTTCTTTTTTGAAATCTCAAATCGCAGCAACGATGAGAATTCTTTACAGAGTCCAAAATTTATTTCTTGCCGAGAAGCGTTTTGCTTGCTCGGCGGAGCGCGTACTTTGAGGAGCGAGATCGTCTGGGATCCGCTCCCGTTGGCAGTCGGCTCGTGAATAATTTCCAAAATCGTCGAGCATCGACAGACGAAGACTCGGTCGCGCCTCGTCGTCGCGACGTGGCGCTGTCGAATCTGATTGTCGATCTCTTTTCAATAAACGATACGGTTCTCTCTCTCGATGCTGACGTCACTATGCCGTTTAAATGGCGTTTGAAGCGAATCTTCGCGTGAGGTCAGCGTACAAAACACGTAAACGGCCGCGGTTTTAAACTGTATGTACGCCGAACGAACTCGGCGACAGCCTAACCTTCCGGAATGTCACGTACACAAACGGATACGGGACTCGCGGCCGAGAAATAATATTTCACGGACGAACGCGAATTTAAATAGTTTTCAACATATTTAAACAGACAGTGATGTATCATATGAACAATGCATATAATATGCAATGCTGTGTACATTGTGGTGTTGATATGTATGTAATTTATTATCACCCGCTTGGTTGTCCAACGTTTTTGCGATGATGCACTCCAGATCTGCATATACCACGAAAGGGAGCCGCTCCTTCCTATCGTGGTTGCTGAAATTGAGCAGATTGTCGCCTTCGCTGGGCAGCAGAATGGCGCAGTTGTTTATCTGCCCGCAGTCCAGCGAATGCACCTCCAACTTCTCGGTAGATCCGAAGTAGTGCATGCATCTGTAAACCCCAAAAAAAATTTATTTAATTTCACATATATTTCAACATTTTTTAAACATTTCATAAATTTTTTTTTATACATACCGATCGCAGATGAATTTCTTGGCTTTGTGCCTGCTCAGCTGCATGCCCACCAGCCTGGACAAGTCCTTAATGCATGCAAAGTGCCCTACATCGCCGTGCTCTTGATTCGGCGTGTAAAGCAAGTTTACATGTCTATCCCTCTTCTGGCTGGTGAGGTGCAGCGGGAAGACTGTTGGCCCCTTCTTCATCTTCTCCTCGAAGCTGTAGACATTGACGGAGATGTCGTTCAGCCGTTCAAACTTCCCAATATACCCCAGAGACATTGGGAACTCAATGCCCTGGAGATTTAGGATCGACGTATACTGCGGGTATGAACCTGGACGTTCAGGATATTTTTTTGCTGGATGTAGAGCTGCGACAACTGCCCACGCGAAACATGCGTTGTCCGAGGATTGTATGCTTATTGTTGCCCTCTTCAGCATGATTTCTCGCGGCAACTTGAAGTGACACCCCGCGCGGAGTGGATTATACTTATTGACATTGACGGTCAGATTCATGATTCTCGCCAATGCCCATCCGCTGTCGCGTTCCTGGAACTCTTCCAGCGATGCCAGGGTGGGATTCGACGACGCATCGCTGGTACCACTCCTGCAGATCGGATGTGTGGAAGAGTTCACAGTTTCGGGTGTTGATGCTTTTACAAGCATGCTTGTCACCTGCCACAAATTCGCCGTTGAACACCGTGTTCACTTTGAGGTTTCGATGTTTCCTCAAAGTGTCCCGAACATGCTCCAGCACAATGGTCTCTGCATCCTGGAGGAAGTTGCGCGGTTCGATATAATTCGAATTTAGGATGACACCTGTTAATACGCGAGTATCGAACGCAGTGTGTATTTCACGCCACAAAAGTCCCGTACTCGAATGTCCGGCACCTTCACGCGCGAAACGTCTGCGCACCAAATGTTTCAATCCTTCGAGTCGCGCGATTCGAGCAACCAACGATTGTCGAACACCGATCGATAATCGCGGGCGTTTCACGCGGCTGTGTTCTTCCAAAGATTCGATACACTCGTTGCACCGTTCTTCCCACGCGAGGTACTCTTCCTGCGAAATCAATCGTTCGGATTGATCCAACAATTGGCGTTCTACTTGTGCGAATTGTCCCATGATTGTAAATGGAATGTAAATGTAAATGTAAATGTAAATGTAAATGTAAATGTAAATGTAAATGTAAATGTAAATGTAAATGTAAATGTAATATCCTTTTTTTTCAATGCAACACGTTGTAACTATTTGAGGCCTTGTGCAGTTTAAAGCGTGCTTTTATACCAGCACAGCGATTTGGTATCTCTGCCTAACTCTTTCGGTGTCTCTCCCCCTCCCTCAAATGCATTGCATGCCAACATGGTTCTATGCAGTTTCTGCTGATATCGCATAATTCTTTCCATGATTCACTCGTATGACGAATTAGTGCGCAAGATCGTTCAACACAGTTTCTACTGATTCCACATAATTCTAAGATTCAGCGCTTCCACAGATATTATATTATATTACATTCAACACGTGTCGAGACTTTTATCCTTGGAGGCCCAAGTTACATGCAATCGCGCGATATGCTGCGATGTTAAGATTGAACAAAAGCATTATGGAAAAAAAAATGGTAGCTTTAGAATAAAATATTCAGCGCTTCCACAGATATTATATTACATTCAACACGTGTCGAGACTTTTATCCTTGGAGGCCCAAGTTACATGCAATACCAATGTTTATGGCATTTATTACATGTAAATATTATATCAGTTATTGTGGGTTCCAGAACGATCCGTCTCCGCCGCCCTCCCCATCGCCGCCGGAGACACCGACGCCACCGGAAATACCATCGCCGCCGGCGAACTGGCGCGAGCGGGTGGAATTATTACATCGTCATTTTCCACATTTCCGGTGGCCGCGGATGCAGCAGCCATTTGCGGACGTCGATGGGCCTCTAAGGCCGCCACGACAAATACAACGGCTTGCGTCGCCACTGCCACCGCCGCCGCCGCCTCCTCCGCCGGAGGAATAATTTTTTTATTTTTAATTTTTATTTTTTTATTTATTTATTTTTTTGTATTTTTTTCTTTTTATATAAACATAACAAAAAATATATAGTATCATTTAAAACATATATTATTTCTCCAATTTTATTTCACCCGTCTTCCACCTTATCTCCTCGCATAATTCTAAGATTCGACGTTTCAAAAAAAAAACAATATATTCTTCTATTGTAACAATATAGTATCATTTAAAACATATATTATTTCTCCAATTTTATTTACTCGTCTCCCACATTCTCTCCTCTGAGTCTGTAAAATTCAGGTCGAAATCCAGAACCTCGCGCAACACGAACACAACGCAAGCCGCAACGTCACATTGTACGACGTTCGGTACAGGTGTACCGAGGCCCGTGTTGTTGGCTACGGCTCGAGTGCGAGCGTTCGGTAAATACGGTGCGTCGCGAATCGTGCGCGCACTGCTTGATCAAGGGTCCGAAACTTCCTTCATTTCTGCGAGTTTGGTGAATGACCTCCAACTCGCTCGAAGGAAAACTCCAGCCACGGTCACTGGTTTGGGAGGGGATCGAACCCAAATGATCAAATACAGTGTCGGGCTGAGTCTGAGTGCGAGAGAAGGTAGGATACCGACCTGCACGGTCGACGCGTACGTCGTGCCTCGAATCACGACCTACGCACCCATGTCCTTGGACACGCTCGGCTACGAAGCGCTCCGGGACCTACCTCTCGCCGACCCCGACCTCACGACCGATCAAACTATCGAAGTTTTGATCGGTGCAGACTTATACGCACAAATTATGCGACCGGGATTCCGTCGCGTAACCGCGGAGGGTCCGATAGCCCAAGAGACTGCGTTCGGCTGGGTGATTTCCGGACCGATAAGTGCAGTGGGAAAAACCCAGAATCCAGTACGGACGCTACACTGCACCGTACTCGAAGCGCTGGATCACGCGATTCGAAAATTCTGGGAAACGGAGGAAATTCCCGCGACCTCTGTGCGTACAAAGTCAGAGGAAGAATGCGAAGCATTCTTTAAGAAAACCGTCGTCCGAGACAAAACTGGGAGGTTTCAAGTGCGACTCCCATTTAATTGCCCGAAACCGGAGGAAACGATCGGAAAGTCGTTCCACATAGCGTTTTCGGCTCTCGCAAGGTTGCGAAAGAAATTAGACACGAACCCGACTCTCGGTAAAGAATACTCGGAGTTTTTAAACGAGTATGAGTCGCAAGGTCACATGACTCGTATCGAGCCTATTGACCGTTCTAGACTCTATATACCACACAGAGCGGTCGTCCGTACGGACAGTACGACCACCAAGTTACGGGTCGTGTTCAACGCAACCTGTAGGACGGCGGGAGGTCGCTCCCTAAACGACATCCTACACGTCGGTCCAAAATTGCAAAACGATATCACCTCGGTATTAACGAGGTGGCGTTTGTATAAATACGTGCTGGTGGCCGACATTGAGAAAATGTTTCGACAAATTCTCGTAGCACCACAGGATCGTCGATTCCAATGCATCGTTTGGAGTGCACCCGAAACCGAACAGCTAAAAGCGTTCGAGTTAAATACCGTTACATACGGAACAGCGTGCGCTCCGTACTTATCGATGCGTACCCTTCTCGAATTAAAAGAGCAGGATGGAGGAAAATTCCCCTTGGCTGCTCCGATTCTCGAGAAGGACATTTACGTCGATGACGTATTTTTGGGAGCACCAGACAAGCCCTTGCTGGAGAAAATCCGCACGCAAGTGTGCGAGCTCCTGCAAGGAGGTGGGTTTAAGTTGAGAAAATGGGCAGGAAACTCGCAGCAACTATTGCGAAATATCCCCCACAGCGCTCACTCCCACGCCGTAGACCTCACCTTGTTCGAGGATTCCGAACTGAAAGTGCTCGGTCTACGTTGGATACCGTCTGGGGATTATTTTTATTTCAATCTCCAACAATTTCAACCATCGGCGTTACCGATGACTAAGAGAAATCTGTTTTCGGAGATTGCCAAGCTGTTCGATCCGCTCGGCTGGTTATCACCAGTAGTAATACGCGCGAAAATTTTGATGCAGTCCCAGTGGCTGGAGAAAATCCAGTGGGACGACCAAATCTCCGCGGACACGCAACGAACGTGGAATACGTTTTGCGTGGATTGGAACAGCTTGAAAAAATTAAAAATTCCCAGATGGATACGGTACGGAGCCGATACCGTATCCGTGGAGTTGCATGGATTCTGCGACGCCTCCCTCGCCGCCTACTCCGCCGTCACGTATTTACGCGTGACGACGATAAACAATGACGTCTTTACGACATTGGTAATGGCAAAAACGCGGGTGGCGCCGATCAAAACGCAATCCATACCCGTACTGGAATTAAACGGGGCAGTACTCCTCTCCGAGCGTGTGATGCACGTAAAGCGGTCCATCTCCATGAAATTGGACCGCATAATCTGCTGGACAGATTCTACGATTGCACTAGCTTGGCTGAAAAAACATGCGTCGACATGGAAGGTGGTAATCGCCAACCGTGTATCAAAAATCCAGACGATGCTTCCGAACGCCGAATGGCGTCATGTTCCCACGCGCTCAAATCCCGCAGATTTAAATTCGCGAGGAGTGGAAGCCGCGGAACTTCTTCAATCGGAACTATGGATTTCCGGCCCGCCGTGGCTTCGGCGGGCGGAAGAATATTGGCCGAAAATACCCGCTTCGATCGAAACGGAAGAAGGAAAACGCGTCTCGCATACGCTCGTAGCAACTCCGAAAAAAGAATGGGACTTTGTATTTCGATTTTCCCAATGGAGAAAGCTACTACGCGTAACCGCCTACTGCCTCCGGTTTCGAAGGGCGCGGGACGGAGAGCGTCGGTCCTTCGACGCCAACGTTGTCGACGCATCTGAAATACAGCGTGCAACGGAAAGAATTGCACGTTACTTGCAAAGCACGCATTTTGCAGATGAATACCAGTGCCTGAAAGGGCACCGTGAAATCCCTGCAACGTCTCCATTGAAAGGCCTAAACCCCTTCCTCGACGACAAGGAAGTCCTCAGAGTGGGTGGAAGGTTGGAGAATGCGGCACTTGCATGGGAAACCAAACACCCGATAATTCTGCCAAAACATCATGTTTCGAACATGATAATAAGGCAATGTCATGCGGATACGCTGCACGGGGGTTTGCAATTGACCATGTACACGGTGAGACAGAAATTCTGGATCATCGGCTGTCGTAACGCGACGCGTACGGTTATCCATGGTTGCATGCGCTGCGTGAGATGGAATGCAACAGCGTCCACGCAGATAATGCAGGATTTAATTCCGGAACGCACCCGCGCGGCACGACCTTTCTCGAATTGCGGAGTAGATTACGCGGGACCCTTTCGAGTCCGCGACTCCGCCGGTCGAGGTAAAACGGCCCACAAAGCTTACATAGCGGTATTCGTTTGTTTCGCTACCAGAGCCGTACATATCGAACTCGTGCACGATTACACAACGAGTGCTTTCTTGGCCGCCCTTGACCGATTCATCGCTCGCCGCGGAGTTCCGTCCTGCGTGTTCAGTGACAACGGAACAAATTTCGTCGGAGCGGATCGAGAATTAAGAGAGCATTTCAATATCGTGTATAACACACGAGAAATGCGCGATACGTGCGGCCAGAAGGGTATTAAGTGGAAATTCAATCCACCTAGTGCACCGCATTTTAGCGGTATGCAGGAAGCCGGTGTGAAATCGGTGAAACATCATCTAAAACGCATCCTCGGCAACTTCACTCCCACGAGCGAGGAGATGCAGATTCT